TCCCCGTCCATCTTCTATCTCCTGAGACACCCCAGTGCGGAGCTCTGAGCGAGTCCCAAGCCCTCAGGAGCAGGAGGCCCTGCAGTTCTAATCCCATCCTGGCTCCACCTCCCACCTTCCGCGTTCACTGGGTCAAGACCTAAACCTCTTGGCGTCTGTTTCTTCACTGTGAAGTTAATTCAGCCAACAGCCAACGTTTACTGATTTCTTGCCACTCAGAATACCCACTCTGACCGTGAAGTTGCACTTTCTGCTTTGCTCAGAAGATCACTTCCGGCCACCTGGTTTTTGAGCCTCTCTAGATCTCTAGTGCACTGGCCTCTTTGTTTTCCCCCGTCTGACAGCCCAACCTGGTCTCCACTTCCCTCTATGATGTGCCCAAATTCTTGGCAAGTCATCAGCAGCTCCGCCTGCCTGCGTCCCCGAAGCCTGCTCCCCACCCCACCAACCGAATGCTGCTGGAGAAGGTTGGTGGCTCCCGCCTTTATAATCCACAGATGCTAGCACCGTTTGGGCCCACTACACTGACAGACGGACTTCCCAGGTTCTCCTCTCAGTTCATTCTGCCATTTTCACTCTATTTCAGACCTTCTCCATCTTCCTCTCTCTACCCTTGCTTTCAGAGAATGACATTTTTACAGAGAAAATTGAAGCCATGGTTCTGGAGTTTCCTCAGCTTCCCACCTGGCCTTCTCACTCACCCTTTCCTTCCTCCTTCCCTTCTCTGACAGTGGGAGAGGTGCTCTTCCTTCAGTTAAGGGCATCTTTCACTCTATAAAGTATCACGTTTCTCCTTCATATCTTCCAACAGTCTCTCCTGGCTCCTTCCCTCCACATAGCAACAAACTCAGATCTCTGCCATCTTGAAAAGAAGCTCTGAACTCCATGCCCCTCTCCAGCTACTGCCCACCCCCCCACCCAAAGCCACACTTTGTGAACTAAATGTCCACCATCTATTCTCTCCATTTTCTCACTCACTCTTCTGCTCACTCAGTGGGCCTTTCCCACCCATGGTGGTGTTGAAATCACTCTAACCGAGGTCATTTATGCCAAGTCATTAGCACTTTTTTTTTGTTTTACCACTTTTCTTGCTTGACCTCTTGGCAGTCTTTATTCTGTTGACACTCTGTTCCCTTCGAAGCTGTCTCTTGGCTTCCGTGACATTACACTTTTGAAGTTTCCCTTGACTCTCTGGATGCTCCTTTGCCAGCTTCTCTACCTATCCTGACTCAGGACTTGCCCCTCAGTCTCTTACTGTATTCTCTCTTCCCAGATGGTCTCATCCCTTGCTGCAGCTTCAGTTATCAACAAGTCTTGAATCTTTTCTCTCTAGCCCTGACCTCTCCTCTGAGCTTCAGGCTCATATTGCCACTGCTTCCTGGACGTTCCACGTGGATGTCATATGGATGCCTTAAGTCAGATTGTCCAAAATACAACTCATTCGCTTCCTCCAAAACTGCATTTCCTTCTCCCAGGCTCACCCTGGGTAAGAGCACAAACAGGAGGCCCGCATACCGTATGTTGCAATAGTTAAAAGTTATCAGTCTAGCTAACAAACTGTTAAGTTATGTTCCATCTTCTTACCTGACAAATGAACCTTCATAACAACCTGGAAGTTCAGGTTCGAATTTAGGATTCTTGTACTCTCTGGAGTTCTGTGCCAGAATGTGGTGGCTTGGTGAGAGCTCGCCCCTGGCCTCTGACCCTCATCCTGCATCCCTTCTCTTCCCACCTGGGGTTGGTCCTGCGCTGCGAGGGGCCTGGCACACACGCTTGTGAACACCCACAAGCCCAAGCTTTGTTTCTTCCCATGTTTCTCCTAAATGGGGATGGGCCAGAGCTGTGGACTGGACGGGTAGGGAGGTAGTGCTGTGTGCAAGAGTACAAGGGAAGAGAAGGGTGGGCCCAGAAAGAGGAACTGAAGATCAAGTTTAGGAGAGCAAATCAAGAATAAGAGCCTGACTTCATAAGGAAAGCAAGTCACAAGGAACGGGCGGGGGAACCGGCAGGGTGAGGAAGTGGCTGGAGAAAGATCCTCTGAGGCAACTACAGGGATCCGTCTTGGCTGGGCCTGGGGATGAGAGTTTGCAGTCTCAGGACATTTGCCACCTCTGCTGGAGCAGCAGACACATTCTGGACTCTCTTTTTTTCATCCCTCATATCCAAGCAGTTAGTTTTCTTACTAAATAACTTGAATTGATTTCTCTCCACCACTAGTTCACACCATCATCTCCCCCCTGGATGGCTGCAAGGGCCTCAGTCTAACCCATCTCCCTGCCTCACTGTTGTCTCTCTTGAATCCATTTTCCCCACAGCAGCTGGAATGAACTTTCTGAAGCACAAACACGATTACTCCCTGTTAGAAACTACCAGTGTCTGCTTATTGCCTTTAGGAGCAAGTCCAGGCTCCTTAACATGTCATTTGTGGTCCTTGGCAATCTGACCCATGCTGATCTCTGGAGCTGCGTTGTTCACCTCTCACTGGCCCCAACACACACACACGCACCCCACACATACACTCAAATACAAACATCACACACACACACCACACATACTTACACACATTCAGACACTATCACACACAGCAACTCACAAAACACTCACACACATCACACATACTGCACTCTCACACACTCATACCACACATATTCATGCAAACAGCCACACGCATTTTTCTCACACTCACACAATACACACTATTGAGGTATGCATGCCACATACTCTCATACATTCTCACATATGCACACTCCAGTCACTTGCACACCCACACCACACATTCTACACATATACCACACAATCCAAATACATACTCACAGACCACATACACTTGCACACTGCATTCACATGCTCACACACACCCCTGCTAATGACTGAGACAATAGATGGGTGATTCATATCACTCGTGCTCACACACACCTCACTTCACACCCACACCCATACACTCTCACACACATACCACACATATACACAGCCTGGGCTTTAACCACACTGATCTAGTTCTCATTCCTGCAACCCCCAGGTCCGGGGCTTTGCTGCTCCTCCTCTTGGAATGCCCCTTCCCCTTCACCACCCGCTGTCTGGGCTCACTTCGTTCAGAAAGCCTCTCCTAACTCCCTAAGCTTGACCCTTCAGGAGGTGGAAGACTAGAAGTGGTCCAATGACGTTCTTAAGAATCAAACCTAAAAGGAGAAGGCTTGCTTGGTTAGCCTGGACTGGGAAACCAGAGTCTGGTTTCTTAAACTGTGAGCTTTCTTAAACGTTGTGCCTCCCTATGCATATTATTTTTGTCACCCTGTCTGTTATCTCCAAGTCATTACTGATAAAACCTTTCAAAGGAGAGGGACCTGTGTGCTTGTGATCAGTAAGGAGGGACTGTAAAGACAGGTTCCATGCCACAGCCAGGTTGGATGGAACCCAGTGGGTAGAGAGTGGGGGGAGGCAGCTGTCAAGAGTAAAGGGAAGACAGCTTTGAGCTGGAAGTAGGGTAGTGGGGACGGGAGCGCAGACCTGGGGGGTTCAGTGTCTTGGTGGAAAGGCCCAGTTCTTAATCAGAAATGTGTCTAGTTTGGAGTCAGCTAAGTTCCGGGACTCATTGGGTCTGCAAGATCCTCTGAGGGCATCTCCACTTCTAGGGTAAGGTTGAAGCCCATAGCAGGTGGGTTGGCTGGGGGTAGAGGGCAGGGCCTGAGGCAGCCTGGAAGCAGCAGCAATTAAGTTGAGCCAGGGAGTGGACAGCCCGGCTGAAAGTGCTCTTGGAACTCAGAAAGAGGAGGGTAATCAGTCCCAAATGCCGTGCAGACATTGAGAAGGATGTGGCCCCTGGGAAGCCACCTGTGACCTTTCTAGAACAGCAGAGTGTCAGGGTCCGCTGCCAAGCTGTAGAGGCTTACGTGGCAGAGACTGAAAGAACGGAGTCCTCCTCTCAGGGAAGGAGGATGGTTTCACGCCTGATTGTGAACAGAGGCAGGTGGCCAGCAGGCAGGACGAAGTGCAGGGCCTGTGACAGGGCAGGTCACTGCAAGGGTAAGTGGCTCTGAGCACGCATGTAGAAGTCTGCCTTGGAAAGGAGAGCACACAGCCTTCTTCAGGATAGGAAGGACATTGTAGAGAGCGGGAGAGATGTGGATGTAACAACCACCATTTGTCACCTCCTCACCCTATGTAACCTTCACCAGCACACTGTGACAGCCACTGACTCCTATTGCCACACATAGGACCTTGCCACCCCTAGAAATTCCCCCTCTGATATCTTCAATGCCAAACACTTTCTGCCCACAGCTTTCCATTCTTCTGGCACCTCCTTTTTCCTGTCACCACATTCAGCCTCTCTGGCCTGCTGGCCTCTGAGCGCCCTCCTGGCTCAGTCCCTATGCCCCAGACCTAACCCTGCAGATCTTCACTTCACCTGCTTTTCTGCAAACACCTGTAACTTCTTTGCCCATTCTACTGTCTCATCCTACTCTGTAAGTTTTCTCCAGCCCCAGGCCTCTGTCAGACACTAATGATTCCCAAACCTCATGCTTCAGTCCTGGTTTCTCTTACTGGCTTCTAGACTTGGGTTGTCTATAGCCTACTGGCCGTCTCTAAGTGGGGAGTAATGAGGGAGAGTAATGGAGGTGCTAAGGGTAAGGGATGGAGGAGATGGGTGGGGAGGCTGGGAGTGAGTGACATATTGGAGCCAGTAGGGCAGCACGTTTAGATTCTGGAGCCTGGGAAATTCCCAGTCTATGGAGCTGCTTGGGAGTTTAGCTGAGAGGAGGGTTTTGGGCTGGGGCTCCTACCATCAGGTGGATGGGACTGGTGCCTCATTTTGCCCTTTCATCCTGATGGTCCTGTGTCCTCACCCTCCCCTCATGGTGGGGCCACCTTCTCACAAGTTTGTTACTATCTATGCCCCTCTCTGCCTGACTTCCCAAGACCTCAGCACACAGTCTCTCCTCTTCGGTGCAGGCTCACCCTTCCCTCCCCGATCTCCTTGAACTCAAGCCCCTAATAGTTACCCTGGCGTTGGGAAGAGCCAGCCGCTGCCTCGCCAACCCCGCTGGTGAACCCGCTGATGCCCAGGCCACCCGCCTGCGTCTTGATCGCCGACTTGAGCTCATGATTCTCCCGAATAAGCCGCACCAGCTTCTTCAGTTCCTCGTTTTCCCGCACCAGCCTCTCGATCTGATGCCGAAGCCCTTCATAATTGGTGAGTAAAGACATGCCCCAGGGCAGCGGGAAGGGTGCAGCCCACGGGCGGGCACTGCACCTGGAGGCTGCCCAGGGCCCCGGGCCTTGCCCGGGCTGGAGGAGGGCGCCAGAGTTTGCAAATAGCAAGGCTGGCCTGGTGGGCCCTGAGTATTGTGAGGTCAGAGGCTGTGCCCTCCTCCTTGCCCTCTCTGCTCTAACAGGCTCAGCTCTCCATGCCTCCAGGCCTCTGCATAGGCCCTGCCTTGGCCTGGAATGTACTGGTCCCTTCTCTGTTTGGCCAACTTCGTTCTCGAGATGCCTCCTCTGTGAAGCTTCCTCTCATCCATGGCAAGCTAATTGCTGCCCTCTAGGCCTCCCCTGCAGACCTTTCCTCTGTCAGCACTTATCCGGCTCTGTGCAGTTAGCTCTTTAAAGCTGTTTTGCTCACTTTATATTGAGGGCAGGGATTGTGTGACTCACCAGCATCCAGCAAAGGGCCTGGTGCAGTACAGGTAGGTAATCAGTGAATATCTGTTGAACAAAAACTCATCACCCACCTTCCTGGCCAGGGTGCCCTTGCCTTGGGATCTTCGGCATACCTGGATTTAGCCTGTCAGCCTTCTCCTGGGGACATTCTCTCTTGGACACCTGGATACTGGACCATGCTTTCTTCCAACTCCAGCTCAGAGCCTTTCTCTGACTGCTGGCCAAGGGCTCCCTTGTCCAAGCACCTTGCTCCCTATAGCTTGGAGTTTCTATTTCTGGTGACTCAGGTCCCCTATTCCAAATCCCCTGGTAGCGTCTCCTCTGTGCCCACACCTCTATTCTCTAGCTCCTTGAATTTTCTTTGTTTTTTTTGGTGAGGAAGATCGGCCCTGAGCTAACATCCATTGCCAATCTTCCTCTTTTTGCTTGAGGAAGATTGCCACTGAGCTAACATGTGTGCCAGTCTTCCTCTATTTTGTATGTAGGACGCCACCGCAGCATGGCTTGATGAGCGGTGTGTAGGTCCATGCCTGGGATCCAAACCTGTGAACACTGGGCCGCTGAAGTGGAGTGTGTGAACTTAACCGCTACGCCACCGGGCCATCCCCTCCTTGAATTTTCTTGACTTAGTCCTTCAAGAACCCAAGACTGCATTCCTCTCATCAGGTTCCAAGAACTCAGATCTCTTAGTTCTTATTGTGCTTCCTTTTTTCAGAGCTATCTACAGAGAGAACTTTTTGGACCTGACCTTGGGAGTCAAGGGAGGCTGTGTCCTTGTGACCTCCACTGGTTCTGCAGGCATCCGCTCTCAAACAGGAGATATAAGTCAGAGGGCACACCTGGTAGGAGTGTGGGGATGTGAATGGGATTGAAGATAAGCCAGGGCTGGGGTCAGTGTGGGTTGAGCATTCCACCTGGACCTCACAATGGGGGCCTTCCCCCACCCTCCTTTCATGCCCTGACTGAGTCACTCTGGCCCTAGGGACCAGGGCTGAGATCTCTTCAGTGGGGCAGATCTCTCCATACCCTCTGCTCTTTATAGAACACCTCTGCTTGGCTCTCCTCCAGCACATGAAAATAAGCTTATCACTGCTTTCTCAGTCCTCTCCCACCATTTATTCTTGCCCCACTGTTGGCCTTTCCTTGGGTTGACGCCATTCCTTGGTCTTTGCCATCTGTGATGATTAAATTGTGTGTGTCAGCTTGGCTAGGCTATGGTGCCCAGGTGTTTGGTCAAACACTAGTGTAGACACTGCTGTGAAGGTATTTTGCAGATGTGATAAACCTCTATAATCAGTTGACTTTGAGTAAAGGAAGTTATCCTCAATTGTGTGGGTGGGCTTCATCCAGTCAGTTGAAGGCCTTAAGAGAGAAAGGTTTTCCACGGAAGAAGGAATTCTGCCTCAACACTGTCCCAGAAATCCTGCCTGAGTTTCCAGTGTGCTGGCCTGCTCTACAGACTTCCGACTTGCCAGCCCCCACAATTGTATGAACCAATTCCTTAGAATAAATCTCTTAATATGCATGAACTCTAACTGATACACCATCTCTATTTCCTTTTGTACCAGTGCTTCTTTCCTCCAAAAAATATACATTGAGCACCAACTGTGTAGCAGGCATTGTGTTAGGAATTGTGGGTTCAGTGCTAATCATAATCACACATTGTCCCTTCCTCATGGACTTTACAGTATACTGGAGAGCAGCTGTGAATCAAATAATCCCATGTAAGTGTCAGTTACCACTGTGATGAATGCCACACGTGGTGCTGGGAGAGGATGTAGTGGGTGGGGTAGACCCAGTCAGCTCAGGGGCAGCCTTCCTTGAGGAAGTGATGATTGAGATGATGTGAAGGAGTGGTTTCCGGTGCAGGAAGAGCTTTCCAGCAGAAGGAATAGCCTTTGCAGAGGCTGGGGGGCAGTGTGCTCCACTGAAGGAACTGAAAGAGGCTGGCTTGTGTGATAGAATAGAGAAGGAGAGTGGACGTATGTGCTGGAGAAGCACAGAGGGCCCAGGCTGTGATAGAGCCTTGTGGCCATGGGACTGATGTTGATCTTCATCCTAACGGCCTTGGGAAGCCCTTGACGAGCTTTAAGGAAGGGGGTGTGGGAATGGATTGGAGGTGAAAGAGCTGCTGAGTGGAGCGTATTAAGGAGGCCACTGCAGTCATCCAAGCAAGCAGTGAGGGTGGATTGGACGCGGGCGGTGCTGTGGAGGTGGGGAGAAGTGGGCAGAGTTGAGAAAAGTTTAGCGGGTACCACATGGACTGGTCTGCATGGGTGAGAGCAGGGATAGCCTCGCAGTTTCTGGTATGGGTGCTGAAGCTGCTGGTTACACCAGCCCAGTAGGGGGGAAGACCAAGTTTAGAGTGAAGATCCTGAATCAGGTTTGGATGTGCTGATGAGATCAGGTGACACTGAGGCCTCCAAGTAGTTATGTCAAGGAGGCGGTGGTTAATGCTCTGGGTCCCAGGGGAGAACCTGCTTTGTGGGCTGGAAAGATACATTTTGGAGTCATCAGCTTCTAGATGGCAAATGAAGCTATGCGAGTGGATGAGGTCACCCAGGAACCAGTAATGCATGAAAGACCATAGGTTTTAGGCCACTGTGCCTTGAAGAGCAGGACAAGGCTGCAACGGACATAAAAGAGAAATGTCCACTGGGACGGGAGGAAGCCTGACAAGGCTGGGCTAGTGCAGCCACAGGCAGAGGATATTTCAAGGCTACAGAGCAGCAACCGCATTGAATGCTCCTGAGAGGGCAGATGAGATGAAGACTGAAAAGTGTGCATCAGCTTTAGGGACTTGGAAGTCATTGATGACTTAGTGAGGGCTGTTTGGGTGGAGTGATTTGGCCAACGCCAGATTCATGAGTCTGAGAACTGAGTGGGAAGGTAAAGAGGAGATGGGGACACACACAGCTCCTCCGTGAAGTTTGGCTGTGCAGAGGACTGTGGGTGGAGCTGCAGGCTCTGCATCCCCTTCCTCCTTTTGCAGTCTGGTGCCAGGGCAGACTGTGACCCCCACTGCATGGTCACCGGTCACCATGCCTCTGCTGCCTCCAGCCTCTCCTTAGAGCTGCAGTGTGCAGTAGAGACCCAGGGCTCCCCCAGAACATTGAGCTGCAGCCTCCTGCTCCTTTCTTTGTATTCTTCTTTTCTGGGCTCCATCTGCTCTCTCTACTCTTATTTCCTCTTCATTCTAATTTTCGTATTTTTTTTGAAAATCATGTATACAAGTGTCCTTTGTATCCAAATCTATTGGGTTTGAGTTTGGGATAGAGAGTAGCAAAAGTTTGGAGAGCAAGGGATTCATCCACAAATTTATCCACGTTAATTTGGATCATGCATTTGTGGGGTGAGAGTCTGGGGAGGGAGAGATATCAGGCTGCTCTTCGCTGTCTTCTGTCCAGCCCTTCTGTCTGAGCTCTTGGACAGTGTCACTTTGGAAGGGCCCATGGTTCCTGACTGCAGGGAGGTCGGACCTGCAGGAGTGACAGGAACCTCCCAGCGTCTACTCAGGGTGTGTGTTCCTCATGGGCTCATTAGGAATTCACTGCCAACAAACCTTCAGAGTTTTCCCACTTGCTTATGCTGAGTCAGATCTCCCCTCTTCTGCTCTTGGGTCACTGGCTTTTGCACAGTTTGTGCCCATTTAAATTTGCCTCATTAGATTTAGCTCAGCATGCCAGCTTGGTGATGCCTTCAGGGATCTTTGCTCTCGTCTTGGCTTGGGATTTTTTGTAGGTTTTACAGGCTTCCTTGTAAAGCTATCTTCTCAAGGCATAAAATTGCTGAAGAACAAGGACCTTTAACCAGGAGCCCTCTGTCCACACCCCCTTCTACCTCCTGTCTATGTGGACAGGCTGTAGTGTCTTGCCCCCACACGGGGTGTGTTGGGAGGCACCTCCTGGGAAGGAGCCATACTGCACGTGGCCAACGCACATCCTAGCAATACCAGCCAAGTGATTGTTTCCATCCTGCCAGATGTGGCTGTTTGTAACCTCAGGATCGGCTAGCATGCTGTTGCATCCTGCTGCTGACCAGGAGCTCCTGGGAGAGATTTGCCCAGTCTGCACTCCCACAGATTCAGCTGACACTTGACTGCCAGTGCCCTCCTGAATGTCAGCAGTGACTCCTCCCTTCCCCTCTCTTTCGCTTCAGATAGTGAAAGGGCCATGGCCAACATTTTTTGAGTGCTTACTGTATGCCAGGCCCTGTTGTAACAATCCTAAGACCCCCTCCGCCAGGCAGATAGTATGAATACCGCCCTCCCAACAGGGGAGGGCACTGAGGCACAGCCGTGTCCAGTGTCTGGGCTCTCCCCTAGGTCCCCACGACCAGTCTGTTCTTCCTACATTTTCCCAGCTGTCAAGGTTGGGGCCTGGTGCAGGCAGCCTAGTCTCTGGCCTGCTCTTCCTGCCTCCAGCCTCATCCCTTCTGTGGCAGCCTCTCTCTGCACAGCTGCCAAGGGGACGTCTTCCTGACACCCCATTGGATGGAGGCTCTGCTCAGAGAAAAGACTCAGGGTGACGTCCCAGGAGAGCACAAGGGCCACAGCATACTGCACTGCAACCCAGAGCCCAGTACCGGCCCTGGCACACAGTAAGTGCTCAATAAAAGTATGAATGCATTTTTATTCAATCGTTTTTCTTTTTTCTAAGAGAAGTCCCACCATGAAGCTGGAGAAGATGTGTTGGCTAGCGTAGAAACAGGCCAGGTGCTAATTGGCCTTCTGAGTGTCTGAGGATGTGCCCCTGGGTTTCTGAGGGAGCGAGTTGTCCCCTCAATGAGCCTGGAGGGCTGTGGGAAGGCAGATGGGCTCAGGGAGGGCAGAGGCATCTGCTTGTCTACCCAGGGCCCTGCCAACCAGAGCCAGGAAGAGAGGCCTCG